AGGATTTATTTTCGGCCGAGACCATCGATGAAAATTTATTTAGCGAATTTTTAGAAGACCTACCTCAATTAACCGACGATAGTCGAGATCTAATAGAAGGAAAAATCGAATTGGCAGAAACTCTTTTGGCTTTAAAGGGGATGAAAAGTTCCAAAAGTCCCGGACCAGATGGCTTTTCGAAAGAATTTTATTTAAAATTTTTTCCTCTCATTGGGGAGTGTCTGGTAGCAGTTTATAATCTGTCATTTGATGTTGGTATCTTACCAGAGAGTCAACGCCAATGTTTGATAACTTTATTATGTAAAGATCCGAAACAGAAACAGTTACTCAAATATTGGCGTCCAATTTCACTGTTAAATGTCGATTATAAACTGTTGTCAAAGACGCTTCAAATGAGACTACGGTGTGTTCTGGGGGAGATTGTCGGCCCTGATCAGACATGTTCTGTTCCGGGTCGATCAATCGAAGACAATCTTTCACTTTTACGTAGTGTCATTGATTATGTTAATCAAAAGGACCTGCAAGTCTTTTATATTTCTTTAGACCAGCAGAAAGCTTTTGACAGAATCCAATACAATTTTTTATTTCGGTGCCTCGAAAAGTATGCCTTTGGACCTCATTTTATCCAGTGGATAAAATTGCTATATACCGATATTTTTAGTAGTGTCATTGCTAATAACCACATTTCTGAAAAATTTAAGGTAACAAGAGGGGTTCGTCAGGGTTGCAGTTTAAGTCCTTTGCTTTATATCTTGACACTGGAGCCTTTTTATTGCAGAGTCAGAAAAGACAGACAAATTAACGGTATCAAAATCCCTGGTTTGAACGAAGAAGCTAAAATTGTCGGCTATGCAGACGACACGACTGGTATATGTAAGGATAGAGCGAGTGTAGAACGATTGTTGTTTCTGTGTGAACGGTTCTCGGTCGTGTCGTCTGCTAAGCTAAATTTGGAGAAAACGAAGGGCCTATCATTTGGCAAATTTCAGAGTCCTGCTGATCACACTTTTGGTATAAGTTGGCCCGACAGTTCAAAAATTCTTGGCGTTTATTTTGGCCGTAATGTGACAGCAGATGACAATTGGCATATTATTTTAAACAAATTCCTTTCAAAATTTCAATTTTACAAAAAGACTCATCTCTCCATATTTGGAAGATGTAATGTCACCAATATTTTGGCTTGTTCTAAGATTTGGTATGTTGCCAAAGTGTTACCGTTACCTAGTCGTTACTTGACACAGTTTAGGTTTCATATGTTTAAGTATATTTGGGGTACCGAACATATGGAACCTATGAAACGTACTGTTTTATATGCTAAAGTCAAACATGGAGGGCTAAATATTTTGGACATAGAAACGAAAATTAAATCTTTTTATTTAAAGCATATTTGCAAGATTTTGCACAATCACGAGGCTAAATGGGTCTATTTTGCCAAATACTGGATTGGTCTTTCGCTACGGCATGTAAATTCGGAATTGGGTTCAAATTTAAAGCCACACTCTGCAAATATTCCCCATTTTTATGAGGAATGTTTGCGAGTATATCGTGATTTTTCTAAGTTTTACCCTAATTTTGATTGGACGGTAGACAGAAATTCCAGGTGTTTTTACGATATGCTGATTAGCAAGGTAATTACTGAACCTCGATGTTTGAAAATATTTCCTAATGTTAATTTTAAACAGCCTTTTATCAATGTATATAATAAGTTTGTGGATCCCCTCAGCAGAGAAACCACGTTTAAATTAATTCACAATATTGTTCCGACAAATTTCTGTTATTTTTTAAAGGACCAGTCAAAGTCCAAATTCTGTTGTTTTTGTAGAAAATACCCAGAGACTCAAAATCATTTGTTTTATTATTGCAGTGTTGTGCAGTTTTTATGGAGAATAGTTCGTAATTGGGTTGTTGCTCTTAGTTTGGGTGAGATTGATCTCAATGTTTGGCATGTTATTTTTAACGATATCCCACAAAAGAAAGGAAAAGTTATCCACGACATTATTTTATTAGTCGTTGCTTTGGCTAGACGGCATATTTGGACCTCTCGCTGTGATGCTAAATTTAAAAATAAGACCGTCTCTTCATCTGGGTTAGTATTGGGATATATCGAAAAGATCAAAATTAGAATTTGGGCGGACCGGGTCCGACTCAGTGAAACTTTGTTTAAAAGTTATTGGCTTAACCCTGGTATGTTCTGTTCTTTAGACAAAAACGATAAATTAAAATTTTTAATTGATTAGTTTTTGTCACCAGCCATGGATAACAATTGTATAGTTTAATATTGTAATAATTATTTGTTTGTATTGACATTACCCAGTCACTTACTACAGTCCCCTTACCTTGCTTTTATTATCAAGTCTTTTTACTACAGTACTGTTAGATAGTTACAGTCACATTTGTCATTCAATAGCATAATATTTTCTATATACTTTTTGTCTTAAAACTATTTTGTGTAATATTTTTTATTGATTTTATATATTTATTTATTTTCTTTTCATATAATTCAGTTGTATGTTTTCAATAATAGTCAGAATGCATCCTTTTGTCATTCAGTACTGTAAAAGTAATCAGGTTTAATACACAACATTTCTTACCAATTGTGATATCAGATTTAAATTATTAGATTATGTAATGTGACTTGTATATATTTGTAAATAATTGTGTACATTATTTGGTGATTGGTGACAATTTATTTATTTAGGACTGAGGTATTATTTTTTTTTTTTTTTTTTTTTTTTTTTTTTTTTTTTTTTTTTTTTTGTTTATCATTTTTGTTGTGTTGCCAGGATATGAGAATGTGTGAATGTGTGAGAGTTTAGATGTGAGAATGGGTGTATGAAAGTGTATGATTGTAATGTTTTTAATTCATTTTATAATCATCCATATGTACATATATATCATATTTGTTTCATGGAATAAATTCATCCAAAAGTTAAAAGTTTTACTAAAGATTTCCGTGGGGAGGAACATTCTAATGAGTCTATAGACAATTTGTGAAACCCTACGTATGTGGGGTAAATTAATTCAAAGAAAGAGAAGTCCCCTATTGACCCAGATACAACTAGTCCAGGCCGTATTTCAGAGCTGGAAAATGTTGAAATAAGGACCTTTTGGTTAGATATTTTACTTTTGTTTGTTAGGGCTGGAGAAACAATCAAGAGTGGACGTTCAAGAGGCGTTTCGAGTCAAAGGGGTGCAACTCGTATCTAGATAGAGGTTGGGTAATACAATCAAGTGGTAAACGTTGAAGAGTTGCTTTGCGGCAAAGGGGTGCAAATCGTGCCTAGAGACTGGGTAATTTCAGCAAGCGACCAGTGAGCTAGACTTTCTATTCACCAAGACATGAATACGTCGACCCTGGACAAGGTTACTCTGGTTTCTCCTCATTTCCCGAGTAAATCTTTCGCCTTTTACTAAAGATTTTTCACAGAGAAATTCTATAGAATTTGGGTTGCTAACCCCCTTACTACGACCAACAACTAATATGGAGAAAACGAGTAAAATTATGATTAGTGATTCTGATATTGATGAAGATATTGTGAGACGAAACGTAAAGATAACAATCGAGAGACCTGGCAACCTATTAACAGGTAGAGAAATGGTTTTTTTTGCAGTAAAAAATGTTCTAAAAATTAAATATAACAGTGCAATAGAGGCCCTTTGGAAATTAGACAAAACGGAGGAGTGGTTCGTGACTCTATCTACTCGAGAACATGTAGACAAACTTTTAACTGCAAAATCAGTTAAAATGCAGAACATTACCTTTATCTTTAGTGACGCAAATAAACGAATCATGAATATAAGAGCTCATTGGATACCCCCGTTTGTGTCGGATTCATTTATTGGGAAAGTTTTTGACCAGTATGGTACAGTTGTAAGCGTACTGCAGGAGGAATATGGTCCACGTCACGTGCTGAATGGTACTAAATCGGGTTTGAGACGTATAAACTTGGAATGTTCTGATGCACAATATTATTCTGTCCCGCATATTGTGATGGTGCCAGGGGTTAGACCTTTCCGCATACTCGTTGCTTGCTCAGATAGACAGCCACTATGTTTATATTGTAAACAGACTGGCCACATGGCAAGAGACTGTCCATCAAAAACACGCAGGATTGAAACCCAGAAGGCTGAACCAGAGGCAAAGGTGTCTTACGCTGATGCCGTTAATAATGTGACAACGGGCGAAGATGCCATTTGTGACGCCCCGGCTGAACAAATAACTATTGATGAGGAATGTGGAAAAAGTGAAAAACCCTCCCACCTCTTTTCCCCAGACCCTGTGACGAGCTGGGCTGAGGAGATGGTGTCGGAAAGTGACAGTGATAGTGACAGTGATAGTGCAGGTAGTGATAAGTTGATAATTGATACAATGAAAGGGACAGAAGGGGAATGGAAGAAAGTTAAAAAGAGTAGTAGAGCGAGTGGAAGTCCGAGCAAAGGTGGTGGGAAAAAACCTAAAATTTAATTTCTTACACATGTATTCAAATTCTACTTTTTTATTTCAGATTATGTTCAGTTTTGTAAATGTTATTCATGGCTGGTTTGTATATATATTTAGTGAGTATCTGGGTATTTTCTGTGTATATAATATAATCATGTATTTTATATTTCAGCTTTTATTTAGTCAGTTTCGACTAGTAAGTTTGTCTGTCTTTTTTGGCAAGGTACCCCGAATTTCGCTCACAATTCAGTCTGGATTAGTGAGCGATATTTATTTTGGTGGGCTATGTTTGTTTATCGCCTGTCAGTCCTTTGAGTTTATACTCATGTCTGTCCAAGTCTTGTCTTATTACCTAGTTTGATTTTATGTCACTTTTTTCTAATCACAAATCATAAATGGCGAATATTAAGACTGTATCAATCAACTGTCGTAGTTTATTGTCTATTCAGAAATCGAGAGTAATATCGAGAGATCTGAAAGATATGTCTATTGATATTTGTTTTTTACAAGACACCAATATTCGTAATATCGAACGAGCTAAAATTTACGAAAATATTTTTGGGGGTAAATGTATTTGGTCTTTTGGCTCTAACCGTTCGACGGGGGTGGGGATTGTTCTTTATAACCGTTTAAGTTTTGTGATTAGAAAAATTAATTTCGATTTTGAAGGCCGGCTAGTTGTTGTCGATGTCGACATCACTGGTACACAATTTAGGCTAATTTGTATATATGCGCCAGTTATAGGTGCGGACCGCAACGAATTTTTATTAACTATACCGCACTATTTGACTACTCAGCGGTATATTATTTTTGGAGGGGATTTTAATTTTGTAATGGATCCGCACTGTGACAAAATTGGGGGTAATATTGAGCACGGAATTGTGGGTAGAAAAAATCTGGGGGACATAATTACGGATTTTAATTTAACTGACGCATATCGACATATTTACCCTAGTATTGTTTCGGTGACATGGCGGGGCTCCGGTGTCGCATGTCGCTTAGACCGATTTTATTTAAGTAGAAATCTTTTAAAACATCTTGTAAGTTTTGAGGTTCTGCCTTGCGCTCCCTCAGACCATGACTATGTAATTGTTACCATCAATGTTTCGGGCGGAATTCAAATTGGGGAGGGATATTGGAAGTTTAATAACTCAATTTTGCACGACCGAGCATATATTTCCCTTTTTACAGATTTTTGGCAGAAAAGTTTGGTTGGGCAAGTTATTTCTTTGGAATGGTGGGAGGGTATGAAAATTTCTATTCAAAATTTAACTAAAGAATACTGTAAAAAGAAGGCTCGGATCAAGCGTGCCGTTATTTTTGACCTGGAGAGGCGCTATCGAGTTTTGGCAGACGCAGATTCTAGAGCTCCAGGTCAATATACGGAATTAATTAAGGTGGCGAAAAAACGGTTATATGGTTATAAGTCTGAGGAAGCTCAAGGGGCCTATATTAGGTCAAGAGCTAGGAAATTACAAGATGAAGAACAGGCATCTCGTCTTTTC